CCTCCCTCCCTCCCTCCCTCCCACCACAACAAGCAGACATGCGCACTTTGCACTCTGGCCTTTACGTAGCTTGTCCCCCCCCTCCCTAGACAACATAGTATGTCGGTACAGATGATGGACCCTTCAAATTCTTGCAGGACAAAAAAGTCGTTTCAGCATGTGTGTGTGGGGGAGGGGAGCGCACCGAGGGAAGGGGGGGGGCTAATGCACCTTTCCTAAGAGTGGGAGTCCTTTGCTAGCTACTACCTGTTTTCTCGCTCTGGTATTGTTTTTCCTTTTTATCCTACCATTAGAAACTGTTGACAGTGGTAGTCTGTAAGGCTAGCAAAAAAGGAAGCACAAATGCCGCGCTCGGGTTCCGAGACACACGCAATTTTTGGAATCTGGTATTGTCAAGTCGGGCATAAAATGTCGTTCGGGTTCGCTACCGGGGGGCGCGTGCACTTGCATTCCTCAGATTTGCAAAAAAATAGTGACTTATCTTCAAGGAGAAGTCGGACCGTCACCACTGGGTGGTACCAGTGGGCGGTACTTTTGACAGGATGTACAAAGCACGACCCGACGTTGGTCCAGAAGCAAGCAGACTTGAACTGCAGAACTCTCGGCAGTTCGAGGACATTAAAAAAGCCCCTACGAGTCTCCTGTTGTCGCCTAGCCCATGTATGGCTCTATCACATTTATCAGTCCGCTACCCTTTCCCAAATTTGCATACTTTAACCAGGAAAAACCACAACTGAGCAGAGTGTGAAATGATCGAATTTAATGAATAGAGGACTGAGTTTGGAAGTAAATGCAAGGATCGTCTATGCGCTATTTCCACGTCAGGAACCGGCAATACATCAGAAATGAAACAGGAAACGAACTCAAAGTGCACAACAAAGTATCCAGGGAGAACCAAGGCGTTCACGCAAAGGCGTTCTGGCCACCTCAAAACCTCTTCGACTTCACTGCAGTGCGTGCACATACATTTACACGGGCATCCAGTCAGTTTGAGATTGGTGCAGAAATTAAAGCAACCCATATTCAAAACCCAGTTAGAAAAGGTAACAGCGTTAGTTGCCATCTGAGCATGAGGTATGACTAACATTCTCGCCCGAGTGGTTAGTTGAATAAGCTGAATATAATTATAAGTGCTGAGAATCCAGTGGACCTCAATTGATCCGAGCGCGCAGCCTCAAGGTCACGTGTTGGTACAGTGTGGTCTCCGAAAGGGTAATGAGTCCCTACCGGACACTGTTTTATGTTTGACAGCAGAGCATGCGTGCGTGAGACATGGTGGCATAGCAAGTTACGTCTATTGCTCATATGATTGGGGCCACAACAAATCATGCAGGATAGATTTTCGAATAAACCATAACTTCTCCTCGAATTCGTCAACACAAACAGCAACGTATGCCCGCTCGAACAATACTTATCCTAGCGGAAATTCTGAACAGTTTGCTTCCTTGGATAAAGACTGTTGGCTATGCGTATAGCCGAGTTGATGTGACGGTGCAACCATCGTACCCGACTAGGTCTGTTATGGGTTCCACAGCAAGGTGATGCAGGGCCGGAGACGTGAACATGAATTGGACTTGCTCTGCATCTACCGCACTCTCGACCCCTCCCCCCACTTAGCACCGGTGTCATAACCAGTCAAGATTACCGGAGGCACAGGGGGCCGGAGCCGCCCCTAGGCATGTCGCCAGACCTAGCTGGGATCTCGAGGAGATTCACAATCAAGGTGTTCAACTGAAGGTCTCGGCCAGGGAAGGCTGCCCTCATCAGCTTTGGTCTTCTTAGGCAGCATGCGGTCAACCGGGCCGGCGTCCTCAAACTGCTGTATGGGTGGCGCAGGTATCCGTTCGGCTGCCTGTTCACCATCCCCTCCCCCTTCACCCCGTTGCACAAAACTCGTCCGGTCACGCTTTGAGGAGCAACAGACCAGAACTTCCCTCCTCATTCTCTCCCAGGCGGCCAAACCAAGAGGAAACGTCCCCCACCCCATCCCCCCTAGGTCAACAGCAGTTGACGTCTCTCAGCGAGTTTGGGTATTCGCTCCGCAGAAACTGTTGTTTGAAGTCACACCTCAGTGAAAATTTGTTTTCACTTCGGTCTGCGCATCTCTCATGAGTTCCCACGCTTCAGCTCACCGTGCCAGCAGTACCCGCGATCGAACGCTTGCGGTTCAGCGGGTACGGAGAGAGAAGACTAATAGGGAGTCGGATAGGTTTTCCTGGAAACAGTCGCATATGGGAGCTTAATCGAATTGTCTCTCTGAAGGACCGAGCTCGTGGTGATACTTTGCTTCTTCAAGTGACGCTAACCAAAATTGTGAAATGTGTTTTCCATTAGAAATATCACTTCCTATCATTAATGTTATTACATTATATATTAGTATACATATGTAAACTATAGTATTATTAATCTATAACCTAATCATCGTGCAGCATAATCTAAAAATATTTCCGTTACAAGAGGATTCTGACTTCGGAATGAGCTTCTTTTCGGTTGCCAACAGAAAACGCAATCTGTAAAAATGACTACTTAAGTAGCGCACACTTTCCCCTTTATGTTCGATGCCCTCAAAAATTATAATATACCTTACTTTACTTTTTGCACAAGATATTCTCTTGTGCTCATTTGAAAATAAAATACGTATTCTTTAAGTTCTATGCATGAAGAAATAGTAGCTTTTGGTCGTAAAACACGTTTCCAATTCCCGGGTCTTCTAAAACTGGATTGCCTAGTGGACCTGCATTCAGGATTTCCAAACTACGAGTTGTATGTTTTGCGGTGTATGGAAAATCTTAGAATTATATACGCTATTAAGAGAATGCTATAGATGACTCGCGAAATTTTGCAGTAGATGTATACGATGCACACTTTCCAATCAACACCATTGTACGGACATAGATACCACTTTATGATTGGACATTTTACGGTTTACAAAATCGCATAATCAAAGAGAAGTTAAAACAGAAGATCATATTTTCTTTAAGCATAAAATTCGAGAAAAAGCTATATTAATTACTGCATGAGTGGTATAAGAATATTTTCGTACGTGTTTTCCACAAAATATATTTGAGTTTATAAGGGTATGCAGAATCAATGAAAAAGAATGCATACTACTAAAGTCCTCATCTTTTACACAAGGCACATTTTGTTTACAGTCTAAAAGGTCCTCATTCAACAATGGGAATCTTGACGGGACTGAAATGCCAGAGGATTAGGCTGCACTACAACTACTGCAACCATCCCTGAGCGGAGCTCAAAAATGCGTTTAGGAGCTACACCAGTATCAGCGTTTCATGATAACTGTTAAGGATTGAGAACAAATTTGTTGTGCTTATATTGGCAGGCGAACACACCTCAAAAGACAAACGTTTTAGTAAAGGCACCTGCAACGACCCCAAATTTTGATAAGGAATTCTGCACGTCATAAACCTATCGGAGGCCATCGGGCGCCTTCTAGCAGCACTTGGAGTTGGAGTCGCACACAGACCAGAGACAACCATAAGGCTACGGGTAATGCAATCAAAATATCCACTGTCACGCAAGAGATAGCTGAAGTCAGGATATGGTGCAGTTGCGGACAAAGCAACTACGTCAGAAAAACTAGAAGACTTCTCAAGACGCAAATTACCGAACGCGCGGCAGCGGTGCGAAGAAATGATGCCAATACAAGCGAACATACCTGTCCCAGGAAGTAAATGGGAAGAAGAAGATTATAATGATGATGATGGTGATGATGATGATGATGCGATCGCATCCTCAAGTCGCGGCTCATTCGTTGAGACTAGGCCACACATTACAATTTAATGAGGTCGAAAGTCTCGCCAGAGATGAAATTGTGTTAATCGAGAATTACTTTAGTCATGGTTTACGGGCTTCCAGTCTGCAACCAAGTGCAGTGACCTGCCAAAATCCTCTTCGCTTCTAAGGCTCAGTTTGGCTAAAGCAATTTGCCACCCGGGAGCACATACGCCGACGCCAAGGAGTCAGATGGCCGAGCAGTCATCACGACCAAATCCAGCACGGATGATGAAAGTTCAACAGGTCATGCCGATCATCAAGCAGTTAGCGCACAAAAAGGCAACCATCCTCGAGAGGGGGGACTGTTAATTGTCATGGCCGTAGCATAGCGACTGTATCCTATTAATACTGTAAATCCCCGCTTCTGTTATTTTCTCTGAGGATGGATCCGCAACGGAATCCGGAAAGTCAGGCGAATAAAGTTCTTGTCACAACAATCATATCTGCTTCAACTCATCTCAGCCTATAGTACTAGACCCTAGGAGAATATCTGAGCGTCCTGGTCTGAGCTCCAAGGCACAACGGGACAAAAACGTCCCGTTACCTGATCGCTTGTATTTATGTAGTTTTTATCTTAAGATCTATAGTAGTTAACTTACAAAACTAAATACGTCTGTATACGCCCGTTTGCTCAATATCAGGCGATCTCTAATACGTTAGGAAGCTGGCAATGT